TTTTCTAGTCCATGGAATTTTATAATTATTATAAAGTTCTTTTAAAGTTCCGTATTTAGCCCAACTGAAAATCATAACTTTCTTGTTATCAAGGATTGAGAGGCCATAAAACTGAAGAATGTATGGTGATTGACTTAATTTTCCAAGAATTGCCAATTCTCTTTCTGTATTTTCAGAATCTCTTGTGGATTTACATGCAACTTCTATTGATGCTTTATAAAATTTTTTAATAACAGTACAAGATTCAGAACCACGGCAATATTGTTTAAAAGGTTCACTCAATTCGCTTGGATCGATTTTTCGTACATGGACATCATCTGAAATTTTCAAGATATTCACTCCTTGAACGACCAAATCGAGCTGATTACCAAATTTCTTGAGAGACTTAAATGGATTGAAAAAAATTAGCAAAATAAAAATTATGCATTTATGAAAAATTACACACATACCTCGTCAACGTTCCTTAAAGATGTATCTACATTTTGATTTGCATTTTCTCTAACAACTGCTATAGTAAATTGTAGATCGTTCATAGATGTATCGTAATCTTTTATTAATTTTTCATACGTTTTTTTAATTTCTGTTGCGTTTAAATATTTTCTATAGCCTTCGAGCTTTGATACTTTATTAGTAAATTCCTTAATATTTATCAAATTATTTTCAAATCTTTTTAGGGACAACAAATATTTTTGATAAAAATCTTCGCTATGATTTCTTTCTAACATTGTTCTTATAGCAGCTTCTGCAACTGCTACTCGATCCGTCATAATTAAACAAATTTCTTTATTACATTCTGCGTTCTCGTATATTTGATTTATTTCTTTAACCAGAGCATTCAACGCATTTAAAAAGGGTAAATATGAACCTATGGCTTCAGCACTAGTTGAAATGGTATTTACAAACTTATTACCGAAGTTTATATTTGATGGATTGGCCATAATTAAAGGTATCTATGCTAAAGTCTGAAATTTTGTTTAATAAATAGGTCCGCGTGCGTATTAGATACGCAAGC